GGAGCTTGCAGTGAGCCGAGATCGCGCCACTGCACTCCAGCCTGGGGCACAGCAAGACTCCGTCTAAAAAAAAAAAAAAAAAATACAAAAAATTAGCCGGATGTGGTGGCGGGTGCCTGTAGTCCCAGCTACTTGGGATGCCTCAGCATCCTCCAGAATCTGGGAGGCAGAGGTTGCTCTGACCCCAGATCACGCCACTGCACTCTAGCCTGGGCAACAGAGTGAGACTCCGTCTCAAAAACAAACAGAATACAAAAAACACATATAACCCCTTCAAGCCGAAATAGCATCTAACATATTTAGTTTGACCAAGTGTTTAATTGACCTAGTGGGTGAATTCTGTCTCTCTCTCTCTCTGCCACACACACACACACACACACACACACACACACACATATAAAGATACACAGTTTTATAAATGAGGGTTATAATATAACCTTAAAGAAAGTCAGGATATAGCATCAAACATTAAGTAATTTCTACTTTACAAGGGACTTTGACAAGCTGTTCCCAGTAAATATCAAAGAATTACAGAAAAAGATGAAACAGCAATTCAGGGATTCTGGCCATGATCTGTGTGTTATAAATGACAACGAGAAGACAACTGGAGAATCAGAACAGAGTCTGCTTATTAGATAGTGGTAACGTGTTGATGTTAATTTCCTTGCTTTTAGAAAGTATACACTAAATAATTCAATAATAGCTTTCATCATGCCAACAGCTATTTTTCAAATTTTTGTGTATAGTTTTTGTAAATTTTAAGTTGGGAGTGTTTTAAAGTGCAAAATTAATTTAATTGTAGACTTACATTTAATTAAATTTAATATAATCTTACTCCTGAGTAAAAACAAAGTGGTTACAATAAAAGCTACTTATGCTGGGCTCTGTTCAACTGCCTGGATCTAAACGAGACAAAATGTAGCTTTCTTCCACATCAAAGCCTGTCTAGTAGTTGGTGACGGTGAAGCTAACGCATGTTTCCCAAATCCTTCCTTCTCGGGCTGCCGTCCTTCTAGGTTCAGACGATGCCTCTGTCTCCCTTCTCTGCTCTCACACTCTTACTCCTTCTGAAGACTAACTTTTTATTTTGTCAATTCTTTTTTTTTTGGAGACAGGGTCTCTCTCTGTCATCCAGGTTGGAGTGCAGTCTCTGCTCACTACAACCTCTGCCTCCCGCGCTCAAGTGGTCCTTCGACTGCAGTCCCCAGGTGACAGGGACCACAGACAGGAGTGTGCCCCAACGCCTGGCGAATATTTGTGTATTTTGTACAGCTGGGGTTTCACCACGTTGCCCAGGCTGGTCCAACTCCTGAGCTCAAGCGTTCTGCCTGCCTGGGCCTCCCAAAGTACTGGGATTACAGGCGCAAGCCACCACACACGATCCGTTTTGTCAGTTCTTTTTGTGGTCTGTATTCTATTTCCTTGATTTATGTTCCGCCTTGTTACTTTGTTTGGTTTAAATTTATGCTTATATTTTATGATTGATTAATGTAGATCTGCAGGCCATACATTTCACATTTTTGACAGCTTTAATGAGACACAATTCACATAATTAGTAATTATGATGATTCATATAATTCACCCATTTAACGTCTACATTTCAGTAGTTTTTAACATACTCATAGCTATGCAATCATCGCTATAATCAATCTTAGAATATTTTTATCACTCCACAAAGGAACTGCATACCCTTCGATAGTAACTCCCCATCTCCCCAACTCCCAATTCTTTAGTAGAAACATTGAAAGCTGTATTATTTCACCCCAAGCACTGTTAGCCATTTCCCACCAGTTTTGAAGTTATATTGTTATTATTATTTATTTCGTAACATTTTACCTTCCCTTTTGATTTCTTCTATGAACCACAGATTTTTTAGAAGTGTATTTTCAATAACCAAATTTTAGAATTCTCTACGGACTGTTACTGATTTCCAGTTTCGTTTCATTAAGTGTAGAGATCGTATCGTGTGTTTTATAGCCCAGAACCCGGTCTATCTTGGTGAAAGTATCATGAGCATAGAAAGGAATGAGTGTTCAGTGCATGTTCCACTCCTGCTCTTTAAATGTCAGTTAAATCAAGGTGGTTCACAGTGTGCAGGTCGCTTGCCTCTTTACTGGCGTTTTTATCTGATCGTGCTACCAAGTGCAGAGAAACAGCTGATTTAATCTCCTTTTCATTCTATTTTTGTGTTATGTGTTTTGAAGCTGTATTACTAGGCATATACAATTTGTGATTATTATTACACTCCTTGAATTAACCTTTTTAACTACAAAAGGTCCCTTTTGAGCTCCCATAATATTCTATGTCCTAAAATTGTTACAGTAGGTAGCTAGTCAGGTATGAGCAGGGCAGGAGGGCTCTCCAGCTTCTGATACCAGTAGGGTTGGGCGACCATCAGGTGGTTGATAACTGTATCTCTAAAGTAATCATTGGTTACAGCCGGGCGTGGTGGCTCACACCTGTAATCCCAGCACTTTGGGAGGCCGCGGCGAGCGGATCACGAGGTCAGGAGATCCAGACGATCCTGGCTAACATAGTGAAACTTCATCTCTACTAAAAATACAAAAAATTAGCCAGGCGTGGTGGGGGGCACCTGTAGTCCCAGCTACTCGACAGGCTCAGGCAGGAGAATGGCGTGAACTCGGGAGGCGGAGCTTGCAGTGAGCGGAGATCGCACCACTGCACTCCAGCCTGGGTGACAGAGGGAGACTCCTTCTCAAAAAAAAAAATAAAAATAAACGAAAAACTGGTTATAGCCAATGCCAGAAAAAAGCAGTCTCCCAATACATAGAAAACACCTGAAACTGATCAGTAGTTTCCCAGTAAGATTTCAGGAGTGGGGAGAAGGCAAGATCCTGGAAGTATGCCAACCCATAAAACCCCAACTCAGGCAGGCGGGCTGCACACTGTTTCTCAAGTCACCTGCTTGGCCAACTTCCAAGTTGTACTTTCCTTCTCTTTCCCTTCTTTCCTTTCCTTCCTGTTCTAAAGCTTTTTAATGAACTTTCACTCTGCTCTGAAACTTGCCTCCATCTCTCCTTCTGCCTCATGCCCCTCAGTCCTATTCTTTCTTCTCAGGAGGTGAAGAGCTGAAATTGCTGTGGAACCGTAAGGATTGGCCACCTTCAACGTAAGGTAACTCAGATCTCGTCCACTGCTAACAACATCACCTTCCTCTGATACTGAGATAGCCATGGCAGTTTTCTTGGCCTTACACTCTGCATAGTGTATCTGTTTCCATCTATTTACTTTCAACAGACAGCATCTGTGTCTTCCTTTTAAGTCCCAGCTCGTATAGACAAGATATAGCGGAGTCTTGTTTTTTCAGCCCTTCAAACTCTTTCTACCTTTGACTGTAGTGTCCAGTGGATTTACAGTTAGTGCAATAATTGATAGTCGAAATAGACCTATAAGTTTACCATTTAAACTATGGTTGTCTAGGCTGGACACGGTGACTCACACTTGTAATCCCAGCACTTTGGGAGGCCAAGGTGGGTGGATCATGAGGTCAGGAGATCGAGACCATCCTGGCTAACA